CACACACACCCACACACACCATGAGCAGGTTTTAGCTTTAGTGGGTGGCATCTTAAAAGAGAAAGTGAAAGCAGACAGCTCAGACATTAAGGAAGCATGATGAAGCTGAAATAATCAAGGTAATGTCTTTTTAAAAACCTGATTCAACACAGATTGTTACAGAACGTAAATCTATCGATGAGCACTCTTAGTTATACTTTGGTTGTTGTGATCTTGTGGTTTCTAAGTGTCTGCTTTGTCTCTTTTCAGTGTTCAGCCATTAATAATTAGAACCGTGCAGGCAGATCTGAAGGGCAGCTGTTGTCAGCTCACTCTTGTCCTCCTCTGTGCACATGCTGCATCATGCATTTGGTCACAAGTTCTCGTTCAGAAGGAGATGATCTCTCTTCTGACACATTTAACAAAGCATGCTCAGTAAGGCTCAGCTGTTACTGGCAGCTTTTAATCATCCCTCATGTCAAATTTGTTTTCTTGTTAGTTTAATGAACTGAGTTAAAAGGCAGTTCAGTTGCTGCAGCATGGAAAGTCAGGGGTGGTAATCAGTCCTATCATTTATTTCCCACCTTAACAACAAAAGCATCAAAGTCAGAAGCCAAATGTAACTGGGGAAAACAAAATAATCAGTGTCTTCATTTCTATGGATTCACACATTACGCAACGAGCCAAGAAAGCTGCACTTCTCCAAGATAGTTGAACAAAATCCCTTGCACGCTGTTTGTTTGGTATAATGCAAGATTTATTCACTTTAATCCACCGAATCTCCTCTGAAACAGTTTGCAGCTCTATGGAGAGGCCTGCCTCCCTTTTTTAAACTTTTATCTGTAAAAATGCTCGCTTTTGTAGAGATTTATGGGTTTCATTTCACTTATTTGTGTTTTTCAGGTTTTAAAAGAAGAAATCCTGAGAGCTTGTCACCGTTTTGTACTCCAAAAGAGTCAGGTGTTCCTCACTGTTCCTGTTTTTGGGCTGTGGTTAAATGCTTTTTGTGATAGACTTTTTAAAAATCATTCGTTGGTAGATATTTATTTTGCAATGATCCCAGTCAGATTTCTAGTGTTGTTGCTATTCAGTGTTTCTCTGGTTGAGTCTCAGCCCTCCCAGAGTTCACAGCAGGTGTCGAGTCCTCTTCATCCCGCAGGAGAACAAGCTCCTCCGAGCCAAGATAATCTGTCCTTTCCCTGGAGCCGTCTCCGCCTGCCGAGGTATATGCTGCACATGTTTTCTAAAGTCACAGTACTGAAGTTTGATCAAAGACCGCTATAGGAAATCCATATGTATACAGCATGTGTTCCTGTGTCTCAGGTACATCGTTCCTCTTCACTACCACCTCCTCCTGCACCCCAACCTCACCACACTCCATTTCACGGGCACTGTGCGGATCCAGATCGATGTCCTAAACAATACAAACTGGGTTGTGTTGCATAGCAAGGGCCTCCAGATCTCCAAAGCTACAGTTTTAGATCATGACCTCGCTCATTTATCAGACCAGGTAGTTGTGAATTCTGTAGATCGGCTTCTTTTCTTTTTATTGTTGCACACAAACAACAATCTGCTCCTGTTTATAGGTTCTTCCAGTTCTTCATAACCCTTCCCATGAGCAGATTGGTGTATTCTCCCCCAGGGTCCTCAGCAGTGGGCAGAAGTATTTCTTGTATATTGAGTTTGAGGCAGCGCTTACTGAAGGATTCCATGGCTTCTATATAAGCACCTACAGGACCAGTGAAGGGGAGGTCAGGTAGGTTCTCTGTCTCACTGCACACTTGGCAAATGATCCAACACATACATTTTCTGCAACAATGGTGTCTGCCAACGTCTGCTTCAGAACTTTAGCTTCTACTCACTTTGAGCCCACGAGTGCCCGAATGGCGTTTCCATGTTTCGATGAGCCAAGCTTCAAAGCCAAGTTCTCTGTGCGAATCAGGAGGAGTCCGGAGTACATTTCTCTTTCCAACATGCCTGCAGTAAGTGTTGAACATTTTCTTTGTGTGATTTATTTCATCTCGGTGTGTGCGTGAGGGAAAAGTCTCCAGTTTGTGGTTTCCGTATTTCAGGTCAAGAAGGTTGAAATCAAAGACGGCCTGCTGGAGGATGAGTTTGCTGCGAGTGTGAAAATGAGCTCGTATCTCGTGGCGTTTGTCATTTGTGACTTCAAGTCTGTCAGTGCAACAACATCATCTGGGGTGAAGGTGTGGTCTCCACATGACAAGTTTTAATTTCCTGCTTGAACTGTTGCTTCCTCGGCCATGAACTCTGCTTTAATGGTTTGTCTCATAATGCTCTGCAGGTGTCTGTCTATGCAGCGCCTGAGAAGTGGCTGCAGACCCACTATGCCTTGGAGGTTGCTGTCAAAATGTTGGACTTTTATGAAGAGTACTTCAATATTCACTATCCGTTACCCAAACAAGGTAAGATGCTTGTAATCATCTTTACTTGTTCCGATGTTTAATTATTATTATTTTTTTACTCTGACCTGTCCCATGTCTCTTTCAGACCTTATTGCCATCCCAGACTTCCAGTCAGGAGCGATGGAGAACTGGGGCCTGACCACCTACAGAGAGACTAGCCTTCTCTTTGATCCCCTCACATCCTCAGTTTCTGATAAACTGTGGGTTACCATGGTGATTGGGCACGAGCTGGCCCATCAGGTGAGGACACTAAAGAGGATCTACCCTTTAAAAACACATTAGATGCATTTTTATCAAACCAAATGATAAGGTTTGAGTGCTGAAATTCATTGTATTCCTCACAGTGGTTTGGTAACTTGGTGACCATGAAGTGGTGGAACGATATCTGGCTGAATGAAGGATTCGCCAGATACATGGAGTACATTTCAGTGGAGGCCACTTACCCTGACCTCAGAGTGGTACGTGCTTTAACGTCAGACAGGCGAATGAGCACTAAACTGAAAAAAAAAAGGCATTATAGTCACGTTCTGAACATATTCTTGCAGGACGAGTACCTTCTGCACACTTGTTTTGCAGCAGTCGGTCACGATTCATTGAACTCCTCTCGGCCTATATCCAGCCCCGCAGAGAACCCCACCCAGATTGAAGAAATGTTTGACACTGTCTCCTATGACAAAGTATGACTTCATTCTGTTCATTCATAACTGACGGTCTTTTCTAAACTTGAAAATGCTGAAAAACTAACAGTAAAGTAGTGACTAGAATTTGCTGTTAGAAATACATTTCTCCCATCACTTCAGTCCTTCTGACAGCTCATTTTAATGGTCACTGCACACCTCTCCTTTCCTTTTTCTCAGGGAGCTTGTGTCCTGCACATGCTGCGACACTTTCTGACAGAAGAGGTGTTTCAGCGTGGGATAATGCGATATCTTCGCAAGTACAGCTACGGAAACGCTCACAATCAGGACCTGTGGGACAGTCTAATCAATGTAAGACACTGTGTGGTCCTTTTTGTCTTTGCATTTCTGAAGGAGCATCTTGGAAAGAACTGCTCAATGAAAATGTACTAGACAGTGTATATAAAATATGTGAACAAACTATTATTTGTAGTTAAATATTCAAACGAGATTACTGGCAAACTGGACACTATACAAAGAGCAGGATTTGCACAAAATAGTGAATTTTTTTCTTTTGAAATATTTTCTTCTGTTCAATTATTAATTTTATTTAATTTTTTTTTATATATTAACCCATGAAAGTTATTTATTGGCTAGCATTCCTTGAAAAAAATGCATATCGCCCACAGCCTTAATGGCAGCGTTTTAACCTAAGATTTATTATTTTTTTAATGATGGGAGTTTCAGCCTTTTTGGTCTACTTTAAAATAACATGTTTAAGAGAGAACTCTTGGGAACTAATGGACCAAGTGCTAGGTCAACATCTGTACAATTCTTGCTAGACATTTTTGTGGTTGATAAATTGCATTGCTCTGGCAGCCATCTTGACTTTAAACAGTGAATCAGTTGTAGATGTGCATCCAGTGATTATCTTAACTCTGTTCAGCTTTTCATTATTATTATTATTTTTTTACTAACTGACAAACAGGGTTGACTCTAAAAGTTAATACTAAAGTTTTAGGCAACCATTTTGCACGATGTAAAGAACTGCGTAAATCTGTTTAAATTTGGTGAGTTAATCCTCTCCTAATTTCGGCACAATGTTTGTAATATTTGACAAAGAGAGACAATATTGTGTTTGTCTAGTGTCGTTTGGCTGTGGCAGCCATCTTGAAATAGACTGGCTCCAAAAGTTGGCCAGTTATAAATGTCCGTCCATAGATTACCTTTAGAAAGTTTCATTAAAATCCACCTGTGGTTAATGAGATATTTTGCTAACAGAAAAAACATAAACACACACACAAATTTGGTCAAAAACATTATAGCATTGTTCCTTTCAGCGGAGGGCGATTATCAGTTTACCAACAAAGTTTTATTTAATTTTATTTTGACATTTTTGTCTCTTCAGTCAAGATGTTTATTGGCTTCCTGTTATCATGTAAGAGAAAGGAATTTTAAAGTTGTTTTTAACTGATTCAGGTAAAATATTTATCTTTTAATCAAATTGTAAATGAACTGAAAAGAACCTCATCAAAAACAAGAGTAGTACAAAAAACAAAAGCAGCGTATGATCCACAGCCTGGAGCAACATGCCGTCAACTTCTTTTCTGAAGATGTTCTTAATCCTCGTGCTGCATGTATCCCAACAGTGTGTCTCTGTGTTGAAGGAGTGGAGCTAAACCGACCTGCAGATAAATCATCAAAGTTCATGCTCAGTAATCCAGGTCAAAAATCCAACAAAGTTCAGTCAGGTCCTCTGGACAGTTTCTTTTTTGTTGTTGAAACGTTTCGTCCTTCATCCAAAGGACTTCATCAGTCTGAGGAGCCACAACAAACTCAGTCCTACAAGCAGCACTCGCACATAGTAGGCCAACCAGTTTGCTGGTGATAAGATGGTTTCTGGAGCCCACCCTCTCCCCCGTCGACTCCTCAATGCTGCCACTGAGGCCTGCTTTTTTTTTTTTTGTCTAAAAATAAACTGTCCAGATGACCTGACTTAACTTTTTTGAATTTTTTTTTTTAACCTGGATTACTGAGCATGAACTTCGATGTTTTAAACCATTTTGGTTATGGCTGTCTCAGAGGAGTCGACGGAGGAGAGGGCGGGCTCCAGAAACCATCTTATTACCAGCAAACTGGTTGGCCCACTATGTGAATGTGCTGCTTGTGGAACTGAGTTTGTTGTGGCTCCTCAGACTGACAAAGTCCTTTGGATGAAGGACGAAATGTCTCAACAACAAAAATAAATAAACCGTCCAGAGGACCTGACTGAACTTAGTTGGATTTGTCGAGTCATCACAGGAAACTTTTCAGCTGCTGTTAAAAGTCACACAGTCATAAACTTGTCCCTCTTCTGACTTGCAAGATGTATTTAACATTTTACACGGTGCCGCAACATTGTTTTAGAAATGGCAAGGGACATCAAGTAATTGGCTCTAAATAATTAACACCATACAAAAATGGTGATGTTTGATGGGACAAAAATAGAAAATGTTTTCAATTTTGTTTGTCAGACGTGCTCAGAGGAGGACTTCATCTCAGGAAAGCACTGTTATAGCAGCAGCCAGGCCTCCAAGAACTCTGTGAGTAAAAACTGAAACATCCTGTCACGAGCGTGCACGTTGTCACATGGACATAATTGTCAATGTCCTTCCTCCTGCAGTATCTGTTTGCAGGGGAACATCTGGACCTTACAGCCATGATGAACACTTGGACTCTGCAGAAAGGTATTCCTCTGGTAACGGTAAGGAGGAGTGGGCCTCAGCTGCAGCTTAGGCAGGACCGGTTCCTGAGGACCGTTCTTCCTTCTGATCCTATGTGGGCCACAGTGCAACAGGGGTAACTTCAGAAGATCTTTTAACATGTTTCACATTTTGAGTATATATATTTTCAATCAAAATGTTCTTGTCTTTTGCGTAGTTTCCTCTGGCACGTCCCTCTGACGTACAAGACAGATGCTTCCAGCACCGTCCACAGACACCTGATGACATCACAAATGGGTAAAAGCTGAGAAGCTGTCCTGCTCACAGTTCTTGTCACCTTGACGTTAATTTCCTGTTCTGTAATTTTAATTATTATTTAGACAGTATTTACATTGGAGAGGATGTCAGCTGGGTGAAACTAAACTGTGATATGACGGGGTATTATGTGGTTCATTATGCTGATGGTGGCTGGGATGTGATGACTGCGCTGCTCAGGGAAAACCACACGGCTCTGAGCTACAAGGACAGGACTCACCTGATACACAATGCCTTTCAGCTGGTCACGTAAGTATAAATGAGATAAAAGGAAACTTTTCTGCTTGTAAAAATCTGCTTTGAGTAAAACTCGTTCAATGAGCTGTAAAATGTTTGATTTTTTTTTTAAGGGCAGGCCATCTTCCACTTGATAAAGCCCTCGACCTGATTGGTTATCTTCATGTGGAGAAACACACGGTCCCTCTCCTCCAAGGACTTGGATATCTGGAGGCCTTTTATCACATGATTGAAAAAAGAGACGAGCCCAGTTTAACTCACAACCTGGGAGTACGCAAACACGACCTCAAACTTTCTGTGATTTATTTAACTTTTGTCTGCACGACTTTATTTTGTTTCTCTGTGTGCCCCTGTGCAGAAGTACATCCTGCACTTTTTTCGTGCCATCATCGACCAGCAGATGTGGAGTGACAGCGGCACTGTGTCAGAGCGGCGCCTGAGGTCAGAGGTCTTGTCGCTGGCCTGTCACCTGGACTACCCTCCCTGTCTGGAGCGTGCCAATCAACTCTTTAACAACTGGCTTCAGTCCAACGAGACATTCAAGTTTGTCAAAATGATCAACTTTAGCACACACCCGTCAATAGAAGTCCTCATTTGAGTCCTTATAATGTGCACGTCTCCATCCACTGCAGCCTGCCTACTGATGTGGCGGAGACGGTGTTCTCAGTGGGAGCTCAGGATGAGCAGGGATGGAGGGCGCTTTTCCATATATACAACATTTCTCTCTCTGAAGCACAAAAACACAAGATCCTGTTCGCTTTGACCAGCAGCAGAGACACACACAAACTGCAAAGGTGTTGTAAAGGCTTTCTCTTTGCTCTGATTGGTGGCAAAACAGTTTGTGCTGCCATCTTGTGGTTGAAAGTGGTCATTGTGCCAATATTAGAAATGTTGACTAGGTCTGTTTGGTATCAGTAGCAATGTCTCAGTTGTGTGTTTGTGCTGCAGATTGCTGGCGCTGGGTCTGGAGGGGAAGGCGATCCGATCGCAAGACTTGTCCCATCTCGTCCTGATGGTGGCCAGGAACCCTCGTGGACATTACCTTGCTTGGAACTTTGTCAAAAAGAACTGGGACACACTAGTTCAAAAGTTAGTGTCACAAATACCTAGAGGTGGAAAGAGTGCTGAAAATTTGTACTTGAGTACAAGTACTGTTACACTGCTTAAATTGTACTTGGTTACAAGTAAAAGTAACGGTGTTCTAAAAAATACTTAAGTAAAAGTACAAAGCAGTCTTCTCAAAAACTACTCAAAGTATCAATTACTTTTTAACCAATTGATGTTTTATTGTGTTTTCAATAGAAGGCATGCAGTTCATTTACTGTATATAATAGCTACATTCAAAGCACATTTCTCAGAAGCTCCGTCTTATTTTAGTACCAGTTAAACCGATGACACTGACAATAAGATCTTTGCATACTTAGCCAAACTAATAACCCACACATACAAACAATAAAAAAGCAATATCATAAAAACCTCGTATACGTTTTTTGAGATTAGATGCTGAAGTCTTGTAAGCTGCTATCACCGTAGAGATCAAACAAAGTTGGCATCTGGACGCTCTCTCCTTTTCACCCTCTGTATATGAACAATTCCTCCAGGTACGGCCACGAGCACTCGTCCTCAGACTTTACCTCATCATTTTCTCTGTTGACAGTTTGTCCTCTGTCTCCATTTTGGTTTTTTCTCCAAGTCTTCAGTTCATAAATGACTCTACGGAGTTGTCCTTTGCTTACGTCATAGGTAATTGGCACGTTCGCGATCTGAGAGTCTTATTGTATTATTATTATTATACAAAGATGCAGATGAATGTTTTGAATATTAATTCAAATTGTAGCCGTACTCCGTAGCGACTTCTGATTTTAAAAGTAGTTAAGTAGATTACATGGTCTTAAATTGAACTTGAGTATGAGTAAAATTACACACTTGAAAGAAATACTCATAAAAGTACAAGTACCCCCAAAAAATCAACTTAATTTCAGTAATGTGAGTACCGGTATTTGTAATTCGTTACTTCCACCCCTGCAAATACCTCAGACTGAGTCGTATAATGAAATAAAAGTATGGCTTACCAAGCTGCTCTTATCAACTGGATCCAGCCAGTGCAGCGCAGTTTTGTAAAGACCTCAGTCCAGTACTGAGAAGACGTTTGAATGGATGTAAAAAGCAGATAGATTTCTTGTAATCACTTAAAAAAAATAATAATTATTGTATTTTTTTACTGCAGGTTCAATTTAGGCTCATTTTGCATCAGAAACATCATCATTGGAACCACGAACCAGTTTTCTTCCCCAGAGGAGCTCAGTGAAGTAAATCTACTATTAAAATTTGAACTTTGTAATTTTATTAAAGAAAAGTTTTAGACAGACACAAATATACAGCACACCGACAAGAATTTTAGATTATATTACTTCAATATATTAGATATTTATTTGTTTTAGATTATTTTGTTGGATAGAATTTACCAAGATTTAATTTGCATGCTTTCTTCATTTTGCATTTAACTCTATAAATTATTAATCACAGCTATAATAGTAGATACAATAGATACGATAGTTCCCTTGTTTTAGTGTAGTGAGTTGGTATTTTGTAGTATTTTCCAACCTTAGATAAAATGTCACAAGTTGATCAAAGTTAATAAATGTTTATTTTGTTATATCTTGTGTTTTATACAAATTTGTGCTCTGTTCTTCAGGTGAAGTTATTTTTTGACTCCATCAGAGAACAAGCTTCTCAGCTGAGAGCAACACAGTTGGCTCTGGACAATGTTCAGAAAAATGTCCGCTGGGTTCAGAGAAACTTGGAAACTCTGAGGAACTGGCTGAAGGAGCACATGAAATGATGACGGATAGGCGTGTACAACAAGAAGGATTGAGTGAAATGTGTGCAAGTGTGTTTGTATACCTGTGTTTGACACTTTTTAAGTATCTGTTCTGTATAATCCTCTTCTTTGTTAGCTTCAGTAGATCTTATGGGGACCAAAGCCCAGTGTCATTTTATGGCTTACAGCTTAGGTTTAAAGCTAAAGCGTGATTTGAGTTTAGGTTACTGTTAGGATTAGGGTTAGCGTTGAGCATGCACTGATGATGTTTGGGTTTAGATTAAGGGAAGGGGTTAAGCTGCAGAAATAAAGTCAATCCAATGTCCTAAGAAGAACAGAAATACAAACTTCTGTGTGTATTTTTTATGAACGTGTACCTTTGCTGACCTTAAGAAAAGAGTTGTAAATTTTTTTTTTTTGTTAAAAAGTTTTAATTATTAGGGGAGCAGTAGAAGTACAGTATTGAAATGTGTTTGTGAGTATTGCGCTGTCTTTATGTGGACGAATGTGTGAGATGGTTCATTTTGACGTGACACACAAAAATTGTATTGACGGACCCGTCACCAAAAATTAAAAGTGTTTATCTGACTGTTTTGTATCTGTGTGTTTTTAAATTTAGTTTATGTACAGTATGCAGATGATCTTTATTATTTTCTGTTTGCTATTTTGTAATTTGTACATTACAGTATTTACTCTTCATTCATAGTGTTTATTTTTTAGAAGTTTCTAGATTACGTTTTGGTTAAAACTTGTAGAATTATAAAATGATTTGAGGTTGAAAATGTTAGTTTTGGTTGTTTCTATTGAAAGAGCTTTTAACAATACATTATTTACAAGTTCTGCAAAATTCTGGGGTGAAGGGGGAATTGGCCTACAATTATGATGGCTTTGTAAAAATTGCAGACTGCGATGTTGATGAAATCTTGTCAAGATCCAGTTAGGGAAATAGATTAGTAGATTCGAACCCCAACCCCATAGTGTGTTGGGAAATGTTTTATTGTTTGTTTCTTTGGTTTTAACAGTGTTTGTCTATCAAACGTTTGCCGTACATACACTAAGAAAACTGGAGTATATTTTCAGACATTGACTGATTTGGGTGTATGGTATGAAATATTTCTACATATTTTGTAAACATCACTTATGAATACTATTAAGTCTGTTTCAGCAGATCAGTGTGTAAATGGTTTTAAAGGGAGTAAAGTATCTGAATATGTGAACTATGTGCGTGATATGGCAACAAAATACTTTTATAATTACAGTTTTTACGTGTTTAACTTTGGAAAATATTCAGTATTCTGCTAACCGGGAGTGTGAATGTGCTCAATGTGTGAAAGCGTTTTGAATATAAGGTTCAAAATTGTACCCTGCAAAAATCTAAACATGCGGTTCTATGTCATATAGGCTTCGCCCTTTAAGGCTGTCGCTGATGGGTTTATCCCGTTATGCGCAAGCATCGTACTGAAAAAATTAGTCCACGCCCACCTGCTGTGTGGGCCCCACCCGATCCGTATAAATTACGTTAAGAGCGGGTAATCTGCTCCCAGTTTTTCTTCAGCAAGCATAATAAAACAAGAATAAACTGACCTTTTTCGTCGAGATGTCCAGCTCCAGCACCATCCGTTTGTGTCCCTCGTGCAAGACCGGCTACTTGCTTAGCTTCGACCGGCACGACACCTGCGAGGGATGCCTGGGTCCCCGCCACGTCGCTCGCGCTTCCTCCTGCCGCCTCTGTGACGAGCTTCCACCGGAGGAAAGGCAGAGGAGAGCAGCCTTGTTTAAGGCTACCATCGAGGACTGCCTGTCCGTGGCGGGAGACTGTTCGCTGGACGATGCCATGGATTTCTTCGACGCCGGCTCTCGGAGTGAATCGGATGATTCCTCTGGGACCGGTGACGCTAGCAGCAGCCCCGACGCTCGTTCCCTCCCGGGGAGCGCAGTGTTGGAAAGAGGGAGGCCGAGCGGATGCTCGACTCCCCCGGGGTTTCCCGCCTCAGCGACCACATCGCTCCCTGCCGTGGGCGCGCTCCTCTCGGAGCTGCCCGCCATTATCCGGGAAGCTGCTAGCGTTAAGGGGCTCTCCGTCCCCTCACCCCCCCCGCTCAGATCGGATGATCTTGCGGGAAGGTTTGGCTCCACGCCGGCTCGCCGTCCTGATCCCATTTGGCCTCGTTTTCCTGCGGTGACAGCGTACTGGAACGAGGCCGCAGCCGGTCCTGGTAGGTTAAGGGCGCCCGTCTCCACTTACGCCCCCATCACCAGAGTGGAGGGGTTCACCGAGCGGGGCTTTCCCTCGGTACCCCCCCTTGAGCCAAGCCTCGCGGAAGCCTTCGGAGCGAAGATGTCCAGGCTGGAGAAGCGTCCCGTCCCTCCGGGGAAACACGACCAGGTGGCGACCGCGCTCTCCAACAGAGCCCACCAGTGTGCTTTTCAGGCGGCCGCGGCTAACAACAACGTGGCGCTGTTAGCATTTAGCATGTCGAAGAGGCTGGAGGCCTCAGGCCTGCCGGAGGAGACAAAGAGCTCCCTGTGTAAATCGGCAGACGCCGTCCTCAACATGTGCGCCGCTTCCACGGTTTGCCTGTCGAGGATTGCTTCATGGATGACGGTAATCCAACGCTCCATCTGGCTCCGTCACTCTCCATTGCTGCCGGAAAAGCTGCACAAGGACCTCATGGAGGGCCCCATCTCATCGGACGCGCTGTTCGGAAGCAGCTTGAAGACCATGCTGGCGAATTCCAAGCAGTCGGAGGAGATGTCGGAAGCGGTACGTCATCTCATCAAGCCGCGCGGCTCATCCCGTCCCCCAGCTCGCTGGAAGGATCGTCGAGAGCAGAGGCAGAAGCACCGACGCTCCACGGCAGCAGCAGCTTCGTCTCGCCCAGCTCCACCACCAGCCCCGCCCGCCAGAGACCACCCCTCCTCAGCCCGGCAGCCTGCACTTCAGCGTTTCCCCAGAGATCGCCTGCAGACGGCGCTCGGGTCAAACAAACCGCAGAGCTCACGAGGGAGAAGGTTTAAGAAATGACGGTCTGCGGGGGATGTGTGTATGAACGAAACAGGAAGTGAAATAAATGATTTTTCAAAAATCAGAATGCCTGTTTTTAGCCAGTCTGTAAGTTCGGATGAGCTCACAGCCGCTACACACACATCCTCCACACAGAGAGAGCCGGTGGCATTAAATAAAGGTTTTTTAAACCCACCGCCGCTCCTTCACATGCCCAGACGCTCACGTGACACCACGGTAAGCGAAATATCTTGTTGTCAAACAGAACCGCACGATCACCACTCAAACGGTGTTAAACGCGCACCCGAGCGAGACAAGCAGCGTCCATCCAAACGGCACTGTGCCGATGATGCACGCACAGCTGCCCGGCGCTCACCGGCTCACATCGGGATAAATGTGGGACCGCAGGCCGGGTCCGGTGGAGGTCCCCGCTCTCAGCAAAAACAACACACGTTTTTCCTGAATAAACGCGAACAGCCGTCATCCATCGCGCCTCTGCGATCAGCAGCTCACGGCGACATAAGCGTGAGACAGCTGAATGAATCCAATGACGGGCCCCGCCCTCAGCGAGAGCGGCGCGCGTCCCTCCAGAGGAAACGTGCGCTCCCGCGAAGTTCACAACCTTCACTTCGACAGCACGGCGTTGATGACGTCACGCCCTCCACCTCTCAACGTTCGCACAGCGACGTTAAACGTGCAGCCTCTGGACGTCACCAGCTGACACACGCCTCGCCTCAGCGCACACCGCCCCGCCCTGACATGAAGGTTGGTCCGCGATCCAGTCACAGCGCACGGGCGCGCGCAGAACAGCCCTTTCGAGAAAGCCTCGCCTTGGGTCACGCGGAAAACATTTCCGCGATGCATGACGGCGGTCGAGGCGGAGGTTTGGATGACATCCGTTCAAAACACGGCACATCATTTAAACGCACGTCCACTCCACGAACGTCACGCAGAGTGGTTAAAAACATGCTCACCGGACAGATGGATGGACAGAGTGTTATGCAAGGGTTACACGCTGCAGTTTGCAACCCGACCCCCTCCGTTCGGAGGAGTTATAGAGACGGTCCTATCATCACCAGACCAAGTCTCAGCCTTAAATGCAGAAGTCCAGGAGCTTCTGATAAAAGGTGTAATCTCAAGAGTTCCCAACGAGGAGGAAAACACAGGGTTTTACTCACGCTACTTCCTGGTCCCCAAAAGGACCGGAGGGATGAGACCGATTCTGGATCTGTCAGCTTTCAACAAAGCGATCATGAACAGACCTTTTCACATGTTGACGAACAGACAGCTGTTGGACAACATCCAGAAAAACGACTGGTTTGTTTCCATCGATCTAAAAGATGCTTATTTTCACATACCAATCATCCCAAAACACAGAAAATTTCTGCGTTTCGCCTTTCAAGGGATGAAGTACCAGTACAACAGGCTGCCTTTCGGGTACTCCCTCGCACCTCGTACGTTCTCAAAGTGTGTGGAGACAGCCCTGCATCCACTGCACAGAGCAGGGATGAGAGTTTTGTTTTACCTGGACGACCTGCTGCTCCTGTCTCACTCCAGACAGGAAGCATTGATACAGGCTCAGGTGTTGGCATCACACCTGCTAAATCTGGGCTTCGCCATAAATTGGAAGAAAAGCTCGATTTTCCCGGCCCAGACAATTGTTTATCTGGGAGTGGAATTAAATTCAATTACCATGACGGCTCGCTTATCACAAACAAGAATCGACACTCTAAAAAACCAATTACGCCACGTAAGACCTGGCAAAGTGGTAACAGCTGTCTCCGTCATGAAGCTGTTGGGAATGATGTCATCAGCTCACACAGTGGTCCCGCTGGGTTTGTTACACATGAGGCGCCTCCAGAGGTGGTTTACGCGCCTGCGTGTGGATCCAGTAAAACAAAAGAGACGGATGATCACTGTCCCTCCCTCCGTGAGAGCAGACCTCCGACACTGGGGAAACACCCTGGCTCTGTCAGAGGGAGTCCCCGTCAGCAAACCCTCGACACACGTATCAGTCTTCACGGACGCGTCTCTGTCAGGTTGGGGGGGGACATGCCTATCTCAAGCAGTAGGGGCGCTGTGGCCCCACCGCACATCAGCCCACATCAATGTTTTGGAGTGTCGCACAGTGCTGAATGTGATTCAGCATTTTGCTCCCGTGCTACAGAATCAACACGTGTTGATTCACACAGACAACATGGTGACTGCTGCGTACATAAACCGCCAGGGGGGTGTGCGTTCAGCCCAGATGTTACACATTGCGCGGAAGCTACTGTGTTGGGCTCACCAAAATCTGCTTTCCATCAGAGCGGTTTACATACCCGGCGTTCTGAACAGAGGAGCAGACGTGATGTCCAGGGGCGGTCCACGTCACGCGGACTGGACCCTCCATCCAGACCTGATGTTTCAGACGTGGCAGAAGTTTGGCAAAGCAGCTGTGGACCTGTTTGCGACGCGAGAGAACGCTCAGTGCCAGTTATGGTTTTCCCTGAGCCCTCGAGACGATCCACCGCTGGGGGTGGATGCATTTGCCCACAGCCCGTGGCCCAAAACGCTTCTGTACGCGTTCCCTCCTCCTCCTCTGATTTTACGGTTCCTGAACCGAGTTCAGGAGGAGGGACTGACAGCTCTCCTGGTAGCTCCCGAGCGCGTGAACGCACCATGGTTCCCGGTCCTGCAGCGTCTGTTGTCAGGTCGCCCGTGGAAACTGCCATGGAGGGAAGATGCTCTCCTTCAAGCAGGAGGAGCGATCAGGAGTTACCCGGAAATAGGCCAGCACCTGTGGGTCTGGCCGCTGAGCGGTCCCGCTTAGAGAGGATGGGTCTCCCTCAGGAGGTAGTGCGCACAATTCAAGATTCACGTGCTGCATCTACCACAGCCCTGTACACATCAAAGTGGACGGCTTTTCAGCGCTGGTGTACAGAGAAAGGTCTGGAGGCCACCTCATATCCATTAGGTGGCGTGCTGTCCTTTCTTCAACAGCTGATGGATAGGAAGTTGGCGTTCAGCACGATTAAAACGTACGCTGCAGCCATCTCTTCCTGCCACGAAGGGTTCGGGGACAGAACAGCTTTTAACCACCCGCTGATGAAGCGGTTTTTAAAAGGTGTACAAAGACATAGACCGGTTTCATGCCCACTCGTTCCACAGTGGGATTTAACGCTGGTCCTGCGAGCCCTGATCAAAGCTCCTTTTGAGCCTCTGGATCAAGTTTCACTTAAATTCCTGTCTCTTAAAACAGCCCTGCTACTGGCTTTAACATCCGCTAAGAGGGTGAGTGATTTATCTGCCCTCTCTGCCGCTCCGTCATGTCTCAGAATCCAGGCTGACGGTAGTTCAGCTGATTTAAGACCAAACCCAGCCTTTATGCCTAAAAGCATCACGAGCTCTTTTAAATCGAGACAGATATCGTTGGTGGGATTCTTCCCTCCCCCCCACAGATCAGAAGAAGAAGCATCTTTTCATCTTCTCTGTCCGGTGCGGGCGTTATCGTGTTACATAGCGCGCACAGCTGCAATGCGTCAAACTCAACATTTGTTTGTGCATTATAGAGATGCATCCGCAGGCCGCCCGTTATCCACCCAGCGCCTGTCACACTGGCTGTGTGAGGCCATTTCTGAAGCCTACAGAGCATCAGATCTAGAGCCTCCTGTCAACCTCAAAGCACACTCAACCAGGGGTATCGCATCTTCGACTGCTCTGCATAATGGTATGTCAATGCAGGACATTTGCACTGCGGCTGCATGGTCATCACCCTGCTCATTTATTCGCTTTTACCTACGTGATGTAACGGCTCGTTCCATGACACATTCTGTCCTTAGTGCTCTAACAGAATGAATATTGTTGTTCTCATGGAACTCTGTTTAAGCTCACATCTGTCTGCATGCATTACAGTGTGAGATGTTGTTATCAGCCACAAGTTGTGTCTGTGATTCGGTTCTATTGTCACTAATCAGTTCATGACTATTGTTACCAATCAGTTCATTTGTTCAATAATCAGTTCATTGATATTAATCTGTTTATACTGTTCAATCATGAATCAGTTGCTTCATGCCCCCCCCCCCCTCCTCTTTTCAATATCTTCCCCGTTGAAAGTTTTTTCCGGGGCATTCATGCTGTCAGAACGCATAGTTGCACAACATGCGTCTGTGCATGGCACACAATTACGCGATGCGTAATTATGCACATGGGGAACTGAGTGGCAAGACGTTTTTTGGGCAAGCTTCCGCTTCTTACTGGGTTCGAATGGACCCAGTGAGGCGAGGACCACATCCGCTTCGCCCTTAACCCATCAGCGACAGCCTTAAAGGGCGAAGCCTATATGACATAGAACGTTGGTTACGTACTGTAACCCCAGATTCTATGAATATAGGCGTAGCCCTTTAAGCGTCGGGCCTCACTGGCTCCTGAATAGCTGAAGAAAAGAATAAGCTATTTGGGAGCAGATTACCCGCTCTTAACGTAATTTATACGGATCGGGTGGGGCCCACACAGCAGGTGGGCGTGGACTAATTTTTTCAGTACGATGCTTGCGCATAACGGGATAAACCCATCGGCGACAGCCTTAAAGGGCTACGCCTATATTCATAGAATCTGGGGTTACAGTACGTAACCAACGTTTGACGGGGTTGACGTGCGTGCGTAAGGTAAATGTACGTCAATCGGGATAGGCCCGCCTATTTTCATTCCCATCCAATCAGATATCAGCACCGCTCTCCCTGTAACGCTGTTTTGGACTCTGCCGACCAGTGTTGCCAGATATACAATAATCTTGATCGTGTATAATGAACATTACGATTGTTTTTGGATCTGTCGTTTGCAAGTATTCACACACCCCACCATCACTGCCACTAAAAAAAGTACTTTCTCACTTATGGGATAAAATTTGTACTTGCTCCGCAAATACGTTAGTTTTGCTCAAAATAGGAAAGTTGAAGCCACAGTTCGATAAGTCGTCGTTTCCTATCTGGCAACCCCTGCTGCCAACAACTGGTGTGGTGAAGAGCGGCGGAGGAAAAGTGTTATTGGATTCTCTCAGTTTGTGCAGCACGTTGAGCTATTTTTGTCCACGTTGTTTTTTTTTTTTTTGTGTCTGGGTTTAGATGTCGAGACGCTGTTTCTATCTTTCTAACAAACAGCTATGGGTGATAAAATTATGGTAAACGGCTAACACCGGCTGACTGAATGCTGCTCAGTGAAATTGTCAGAAGTTGGCTAGTTCCGAGCTAGCTCCTACGTAGTTAGCTAACGGGTACAAGTGGAGACAAGACTGCTATTTTATTGGACCGTCTGAAAGCCTGCTGAGGATTGTGGTCAAGAACCGAAAACATCACGTCTGCTTAACGTCCCTGAGCGTCCAGAGGCTTCCTCTTTTTATTGGACGACTTTAAGATACATTTAAAATGGACCTGTTTGATAATAACAGCACAGGTAAGGACGGGAAGACGGAGCTACAGCAGCAGCAGGCCAGCTAATATCTGTTGAACACAGTTCTTCAATAACGAGAATGTTTTTAATGATTGTCTCTTTATCTGCATGCAAAGCAAAATGATGGGTAAAGCTGTTGATTGTTAAAAAATAATTATATGTGAACTTGGCAACACGTCTTCAATCTGGAATCTGTTTTTTCTGTCAGGAGTGAAAGTAAAAGAAGCAGCATTCATTCATCATGTTTCAGCAAATGTTTACCCAGGTTAACATTGGTAGTTTGATTCTCCAAATATTTTCTTTCGTTTTATAGTTTATAGGTGACCAGTAGTCTGCTTAACCTCTTATGATGTCATGGATATTGGTTTTAATTTAAGCTTTAATTGCAAACCGAGAAACAACACTCAAATCACAGCAAGTGTAACTTCCCTTTTATTTGTGTGTGTGTGGGAGCATTTTTGGTTATGACTTTGCGATTTTTCACAGCAAGGCCAAGCTTAAATTTTGCAGTCACATTTTGCTCACATAACTCTGAAAATATCCTGATGCATGCTCAATAATCCAGGTAGAAAAATCTAAACAAGTCTGGTCCTCTGGACATTCAAAAAAACCAACCAAAAAAAATGTAGAAAGGTTTAGTTTTTCCAGACTTCTTCAGTCAACTCTGAAAATGCCTACTCTTCATAAACACATGTAGTGTTTTAAAGACCAACACCTTTATAGTAGGTTACAGCCATATTCTTTGTGTTTTGTATTTACACTTGGACTGAATCAATGGACACACCTGCCATAGTCAACATATAGTTTCCCAGAATTTACTCCGATGTTAGGAAGGTTTAATAAATGTTTTGAGTATACAGGCAGAGCAGAACCTGAAGGTAGCATTGTTTTATTGCAGTTTTTGCAATAATATTTGTTCACCACATTTGCATGGCTTGTTGATGTCCAACAATAATCTCGACCCTTTCCATCCAAACAGGTAATTTGCTTATATAACCCAACTATGCTCATGATAGCAACAATATACCTCATACTTTAGAGGTGTCTGTCTGACTTTCTGAGTGTTATTTTTATCATAAACTCTTCTGGACATTTCACAGCACCAAAGTGTAGGCTCATTGCCTTGTAATAGACATTCATAGCAGAGCAGTGTGGATCAGTCAGGGAGACAGTGCTGCAGTCATGACACAAACACTGCACAGAGCAGATAGAGACTCATATGATTCTCATTATTCACATTTCTTGGCTGTTATGTTTTGAGAAGGTAAAACTTTTTTTTGTCTTAGTTGAGCCATATGTCTTCAGTGGGTGTTTACTGTCTGTTTCGTTCTGCTTTCCATTCAAATTCATTATGTATTAAAACAGATTATGCAGTGCTTATCACTTGTTAAAAACATGTATGGATTGTGAAGCAGTATGGGAGACTTTGTGTTTTACTACTGAATTTATTAAATTAGGAAGTTGAACATGCCACTGAATGTTTCTGCAATTACTGTGGAAAATCTGCCCACCTGAAAATTACACAAATTAGGTGAAACAAGAGTTTATTGTTGCTCTTCTGCTGAATTTGCATGTTAGTTGCAGGAAGTGTTTTTTTTTTATATACTGCAGTAGCATATGACAAGGCCGGAAGTTTATTAAAACAGTTTTTGCATCAACCTTTTCTTAGTCTAAGAGATGTTCATCAGCTGCTTGTTTTTGTTGTACCCAGTAATTAAACTCACTAGCTAAAATAAGCTATTTGGGAGCAACAGAATAGTTTCAACGATTACCAGTTTAGTGTGATGATGAGTACTGTACTGAAGTGTTTCGACCGGGCTGGATAAACCAGTTTATTTAGGTCATGGTGCCACATAAAAAAAAGTAGGATGCGTGTACAGGAAACTGCAAAACACAGTTTACTTTTTTTTAATGATTTCTGTTTTTCTCTTCAGTGACCTCAACAAAACTTTGTATTAAGTGGTGTCTATTTGTCACTGTTTTGAAGGAAATTTAACAAGGCGCCACACCTATATCAACATTTGTAACTCTGTTTCTCCAGTGTTATTAACAATTTGTACTCTAGTACCATACTCACTGGATTTATTTCCTGTGTTCCCAGCAGAGCGAGCTAACCTGCCAAGGAACATGATTGAGAACAGCATGTTTGAAGAAGAGCCTGATGTTGTGGATTTAGCCAAAGACTCCTCTACATTTCCAGTATGTCAATTTCAAATGTTGTTAATATAACACACTTGAAATATTACCAGTAGATTTAATTTTTTTTCAAGAATAGCCAGTACTAATTTATTTAGAGTAGTTTTTTGTAGAAAAACATGAAAATGCTGAATAGTTTCAAATAAATAATTTCAGTTTTGGCTTTGATAAATTAAAACTAAAATGCCTCTGAACACATTTAGACATACAAGCAGTTAGAGCATTAAAAACCATCCACATCTCCTCTCTGCATTGATATCTGTGGTAACTCGATGTTCAGTGTCTTGTAACCCTGAGGCTGCAGGTTTGAGCCCAGGTTTCATCAGGAAGGGCATCCAGCATAAAACAATTGCCAAAATTTCCATGTGAGCAGCCAAAAGAAAAACAACCTTGCACTGATTAAATTAACTGGGAAGGCAATCTATTTTTGAATGTTATGTGTGAAACACTGCAGCACATTTAAGCTATAGAATTACAGTGATTTGGTTATTCTGTCTCTCTCCTTAGACATTTCCTCCTCTTGACCCCGATGAAGTGGCCTATGAGCCTCGTAGCTCACGATTATTAGTGCGTGGCCTGGGAGAAAATGACATGGATGATGAAGAAGAGGACTGTGAGTCTTCAGCTCGTCTTCTGGGCATGTCTTTTATGAATCGCAGCTCAGCTCACAGATCCAGCTCCTCCCCTTACACCCGACAGTCTCCTCCGAGGTAAAACAGTATAGACTAGCATTTGTAGTGCTACAGGTTGTTGTTTGTTTTTTGAAGAAAACATTGATTCAACTCTATATTTTCACATTTCTAAGTTTTATATTCTGTGATATTTTTTTATTTTTATTTTTGTCAGATCTGAGGAAACAAAAATGTTCAGATCACTTGCCTCTGTTGAAGCAGTTTGTTAAAAATTTCTAGGATTTCTGTGCTAATTTACCTCTGAGGAACCAAAAAGCTCGTAGCGTTTGCTAGAAATAATAACTCGTACTAAAAGTACTATGAGCAGCTTCTTTTTGATTTTCATAATCTGAGATTTGACGGGTTCTGATCGCTGTAGATTAAAGTTAAGTCCATGTAAATTAATGAGACATTTCTCTGATTAACAAATAAAATCAATCTTTTCCAGGACTTGAAAACCAATGAATCACATAAACCCTGCTGTTTTATTTTCAATTTTTTTTCTATGTTTTGTAATTGTTATTTGATATCAAAAGAAAAAAGCCCACACTCCTAGGGTGCAGATATCAAATAGTGCCACATGGAAGTGCCAATAAACTGAATATTGTCAGGTTAAATTTTGGACAACTAAAAGGGGCAGAGATGTTTAATTTGTTTCTATTTAGATGAAATGTATTTTTTTACACAGTGTAAATGGACAGTTCTCAATTTATGAAAGTAATTTGATAAGGACAAGTTTTCCCATTTTTATTCTGGCTTTTTTAAATGCACATATTAAAATCTGACAGCAGCTTGATGAGTTAAATGAAATTCTAATACCCTCAAAAATGAGTTATTTTATTGCTGATGCCAATTCTTATCTTTGGAAGTCAAGTCAAATCAATGGTCAATGTACAATAACTTTTTTTATTATTATTATTGGCCAATATATATATTTTATTTTACAAAATATAAAAAGTAATTGCCAGACATAAATAATATTTAACATTCTTGGATGACCTTTTACACCTAAAATTAATATAAAGATGAGCATTTTAGCTTAACAAATAACTAAAATGTGTTTCACAGTAACTCGGTTGTATCAACGGCTGCTCCATCTTCCCTTTCCTACTTGGTAATTGATGAAGTTTGCACAAGTATGGGCTATTGCTGATTTTTTAAAATGGTCAGATATTAAGTGTCAGCTATTGTCTGATTGGCATTAGTTGAATGATTAAATTAATTAATCTAAACTCAAATCAATCTTTCCTTCCACATGATACAGATACTGTTTATAGTTTTCGGTACGTAATGATCAAATTTGTGCCAAAATATATTTTTCCCTGCCTCCCGTTTCTTGCAGCATCATTCTGTACAGTATTTACATGCTGCTGCTCTTCAACATATACGTGCAGTTTACATAAATTTATTTAAAATGTTTGTGTGTGTTTTGCCTCAGGTCATGTTTTCCCTCAGCCCGGGCCTTGGTTGTTTGTGTGTTAATCCTTGTGATAACTGTCTCTATGACCATGGTTCTCTACTTCTTACCTGGCTGCACTTTTACCAAGGTAAGAAAAGCCTTTTGGTTCAGCTTTGGGGGAATTTGCAGTGATGTATGTTTACTTTTATACATTTAACAAACTTTTCCTGTATGCTCTCTGACGTTCTTATTCCACCGGCTCACTCCTTCTGCAGGCAGGTTGCCCTAAGCCAAATCAGACTGACGATGATGAGTTTCCATGGGCAAAGTTCAGACTGCCTCGCAGCATACATCCCCTCAGCTATGAGCTCACCTTGACCCCTGACCTCGACAAGATGACCTTCACTGGCAGAGCTGTCATCAACATGAGTGTGCTTCACAACACAAAGCGAATTGTCCTTCATGCTGCTAATCTCAGCATTTCCAAAGCCACGTTCAAGGTTTGATTAAAAGGGGCTTTATATGTTAGTTAATAAAATAGTCTAGATTTTGCCTTTGTTGCCTGTTTTGTTGCTGACTGATATTTCTTCTCTTCCAGCTGGGTGATGGGCAGACCGTTGATGTGACTGTGCTGGAGCGAAACAGCCAACAGCAGATAGCTGTTAAATTTGAAGCGGAGCTGAAAGCAGACCAGCTCTGTGTTTTGACCCTGGATTACTCTGCTAACTTTTCAAATGCCTATGATGGTTTCTACAACAGCTCATACACTGATAAGGATGGAGAGAAAAGGTGCACTTGACTAATGATTGTGCTGTAACTACAGGTGAAAAACATGTTGTAGAAAATAAACTATAGTCAAACCTGATTTTAACAGAGAAGGGCAGTAATAATAACTGAACACTAAATGTGCTTTAAGTCTTTTGCTGGTTTTTCAAGCATTTACGTGTTCTTCAGCTTTAGTAATAACATTATCTTTTGTCTTTAGGGTCCTTGCAGCAACACAGTTTGAGCCGCTGTCAGCCAGAAAGGCCTTCCCTTGTTTTGACGAGCCAAATTTCAAATCCACTTTCCTGATAAAAATCAACAGAAAACCAAACTACATGACTCTTTCCAACATGCCTAAGGTAACATAAAATTTGTTTAACACCCTAAGGTAACAACAGTTGAGACTTTCTAACTGTTATTGGTAGTACTTAGTATTTTTTACTTTACACTTCATATGAAAGAACTTGTAGAAGATGAAGCTACATTTTGGAGATTTTAAACTCAAACAAAGCTTGACCTAAACCAGAACCAAGTTTTATTACATATAGTTTGCAAAAATCAACTTTCTTAATTTGAATCTACATAAAAAGCTGTTGAGGAAACAAAGTAAAATATTTTTAGTTTTATCTATAAAGAAGAAACAATGCCTGCTTAAGTATGCATGGCATATATACGTTTGTGCAGCCGTTTATTCGGCTTTTCAGCTCCTAGTGTGGGCGTGATCAAGTCTTTAGATAATAACTTGCTGTGTTTTAATCAACAACAATCTTGGTTTACTAACTGCCTCAGCTTGTCAGGATATCACTCTTCTGTTGTGTGTTTCAGGCCAAAACTACAAATCTGTCCAATGGACTGGTTCAGGACGAGTTTGAAAATACTAATGTCAACATGAGCACATATCTGGTGGCCTTCATTGTGGCTGATTTCACCTCTGTCAGCATGGATGATTCAGGGATCAATGTGGGTATACAGATGACCCCTTTGTGCTATCAAGATGTTTGTCTTTAGCTTTTATTATGTCTGCATCTGTGGGTTTTAGGTGTCTGTTTATTCTGTGCCAGAGAAAATGGAGCACACTAAGTATGCTTTGGAAACTGCTTCTAAACTGCTGAAGTTTTACAACAGTTTCTTTGAAATTGTCTACCCCTTAAAGAAACTGGGTCAGTAAATACACACACACCTGTACACCTGTGCCTTTGACTAATTGTGTTTATATATTTTATATACTTCAACATTTGAGTTTTGCCTTTACTCATCTGGTTTTTGATTTTTTTGTTTTGTCAGACTTGGTAGCGATACCGGACTTCCTGGCAGGAGCCATGGAGAACTGGGGGCTCATCACTTTTCGGGAGACCACCCTGCTTGTGGGCAAAGAATCCTCCCCTGTAGATAAACAAATAGTCGCTTCTGTCATAGCACATGAGCTCGCACATCAGGTGATTTTTAAATGTACTTCTTTTTCCCTTTAGGTTCTGAAAAAGGAAGTGAAAGTGATTACAAGTGCATCTAAAAAAGAATATTGTGAAAAAAGTTTTTTTTTTTTTTTTTTTTTTTGTCACTCATTTTTGAAAGTGAAATATTACATAGATTCGTTACAGAGTAAAATATTTCAAACCTTTCTTGTAATTTTGATGATTATGGCTTACAAATAATGAAAAAAAAGGTGCCTCCTTAATTTAGAATATTGTGAAGAGATTCAATATTATAAATTCCTGGTGTCTCACCCAAATCAGCTGATTAACTCTTAGACATGAGCTACAAATGACTCATTCCTCAAGTCAAGTCACTCCTGAACCAGAGACATCAGAAGCATCTTACCTGACTGAGGTGGAGCAGAACTGGACTGTTGCTCACTCTCTTCAGATGAAAGTAAATTTTGCATGTCATTTGTAAATCAAGGTCCCAGAGTCTGGAGGAAGAGTGGAGAGGCCCAGAATCCACTTTGTTTTAAGTCCAGAGTGAAGCTTCCCGAGTCAGTGATGGTTTGGGGCCATGTCCTTTGCTGGTGTTGGTCCACTGTGTTTTCTGACGTCCACAGTCAACACAGCATCTACCAGGACATTTTAGAGACTTCATACTGCATTTTGCTGACGAGCTTTATAGAGATGTTGATTTAATTTTCCAGCAGGACTTGGCTCTTGCCCACACTGACAAAGGTGCAAAAAGATGGCTGTGGAATATTCAAATTTTCTGAGACACTGAAGTTTGTTTTTTCATTATTTGTAAGTCATACTCATCAAAATCACAAGAAATAAAGTCTTGAAATATTTCACTCTGTGTACTGAACCTATGTAATAAAGAGTTTCACTTTCTGAAGTGATTGGCAAAACAAATGTAACTTTTTTTTACGATATTTATATAACTTTTTGAGATGTGCCTGTATGTTCATGGTACTGATCCGTCTCTGGTGTTGTATTGCAGTGGTTTGGAAACTTGGTCACTATGAGTTGGTGGAATGATCTGTGGCTTAATGAAGGCTTTGCGACCTACATGCAGTACATGTCACTTCAGGCTGTTATGCCCGAGCTTGACATCGTAAGTTGAAGAATTTAAAATGTTAACATATCAAAACATGTTTGCAGTAAGTGCTGTTTATATGTTTGTTTTCAGGGTAATTTGTTCCTGGATATGCGGTTCAGAGTTATGGACAAAGATGCACTGAACTCCTCCCATGCTGTTTCGACAGAAGTTAATACACCTGAACAAGTGGAAGAGATGTTTGACTCAGTCTCCTATGAAAAGGTACATTTATAGAAGTACATTAGTTCCTCACTTATCGCAGGGGTTATGTTCCAGACACCCCGCGATAGGTGAAAATCCACTAAGTAGGAACGTTACATTTATTTTAGTATTTATTTATATATTAAGGCTTTATAAGCCTGTCCCACACTTTTGGAATGTTCTTAACAATGTTCGTGTTTGATTATTTTAAATAAACAATCTATACCGCTCGTGCAGCTCACTCAGGTATAAGACAGACACCCCCCACCCTCCTCTCCTTACTTTTTCCGAGGTTGTCCGTTGCGCGTTCGCCTGTCGTGTGTGTCTCTGGGATATGATGAGGAAAGACAGACCCTGCTCCTTGCCCCCTCTCTCTTTCTCTGCTGTGACAGACAGCCTCAGGAAGAGAAAGGAGGGGATGTGGGGGTCTGTCTTATACCTGAGTGAGCTGCGCTCAGCCACTCTCTTCTCTCTTTTTTAAAACAGATTAACTTTTATTTTTCCTCCTAAGCATTTTCTCCGATATTCTACATTTGTTTGTCTGATCTGTTCATCCATGATTATGGGCTGAAACTTATGCTGTCAGAAACAGAATTTGAATACCTGCTCCCTGAGCAGTAGCGATGGGGAAAGACAGACCCTGCCCCCTTCTTTCTCTTTCTGAGGTGGTCTGTCACAGCAAAGAAAGAGAAAGGAGGGGGTGGGAGTCTGTTTTTCCCCATCGCCTCTGCTGTGACAGACAGCTTCAGAAAGAGAAAAGAGGGGGCGTGGGGGATCTGTCTTATACCTGAGTGAGCTCCATCAGCCAATTGCGTGTCATGTAAAATCTTGCGTTGAAAACCCGCAAAAGTGTGAGTCTGCGGAAGTCGAACTGCAAAGTATCGAGGGGCTACTGTACTGTAATAAACTTTGTAAGCATTGCTTCTAATTAAACTTCTACATCTAAATGTTAATCTCAGTTAGAATCAGATTCACACTCAGATCTAGGTCATGGATGCTTTGTGTTTTTGCCTTGCAGGGTGCATCTATCCTACTGATGCTGAATACTTCCCTGCCAGGGGATCAGCAGTTCAGAAAGGGCATCATTCGATACCTAAACCAGTTTAGTGGATCAAATACAGAGACTGTTGACCTCTGGAACAGCCTCACGCAGGTATCTACGTTCACACTAGTTTCAATGTCTTATTGATTTTGTTTTAAATTAACTGAAAATGGGTATAATTATTAATTCAATTCAATTCAATTAAAAAATACTTTATTAATCCCAGAGGGAAATTAAATGTTGTTGTAGCTCATTTTCCTTGTTTCATAAAAGAGTTGTTCTAGATGTTGATGGTTGTGGGCGGGAAGGATCTCTTGTGATGGTCCGTCTTATAGCAGATCTGAAAAAACTGGCCACAGATGTTGATCCGTTTACTTGCACTTGGTTGGCCTCCTGGGCTTCAGGATCACCTAAATGTTGGGCAGAAATCATCCCAGGGCAATGGCCACTCCTCCCAGCAGCTTGTTGAGCTCCTCGTCGCTGCGGACAGCCAACTGTAGGTGCTGATGGACGATCCTGTCCTTCCGCTGTCATGAGCCGTGTTTCCTGCTAGTTCCAGGATCTCAGTGGTCAGGCACTCGAGCACAGCTGGCAGGTAGATGAGAATGCGTCCACAGAACATCCTTTTCAACTCATTTGAAATTTAGGGCTGTAGTTGAGATATTACTTGAGCTTTTGAGATATTAATCAGCTGCTGTTGGTTGTAGAAACTGCCTTGTTGCCATGGTTAGGCATCATAACAAATGTCCAAAACTAAAAAAGTTTCAGTAAAAATCCTTCCAGCTGCACAGCATCCTATACCAGAGGAAACAATCATCAAAAAAATGTTAGATCCAGAAAAAGAGGAATTAAAGTTTCCAAAAGCAAAATCTCAGAATGAAAGTAACAGAGCTGCTCCAACATGCAGCCACCTTGAGCGGCGCAATTCTAGAACCTATTCTAGAACTAGAATAATCATCCAGTGATTTATAGCTAGCTAGATAGCTAGTTTATTAATTCCCAGAGGGGACATTTGAGTTGTCCCAGCAGCAGGGAATAAAAGTTGAATACAACTCAGTGGAAGAAAAATACTAAGAAACTGAAGCAGCTCAGTCCAGATGAGTGACCTCAGGTCTGAGGTCTAACAGAGACATTAGCTTTTCTTGCAGCCTAGAAGTATCAACATTTCTGCTGTTGTCCCTGTTATCTTGTGTTGATAAAATGTAATCCTCAGTGTATAGCATATAAATGATTTTTGAAATTGTTAACGCAAACCTTGATAAAATATATTTACCATTCTTTTTCATTAATTAAAAATAAATTAAAAAACAGGGCATACAAAGTAACTATTTCTTTTGTTTGTACGTTAAGTTCTCCCCACAACACCAGAATATATCAGAGATGATGAGTTCATGGACATCTCAGAAAGGTTTCCCACTGGTCACTGTCAGCCGTAAAGGGGATCAGGTAACCCTCTCACAGGAGCCCTTCCTGCTCACCTCTGACAACACAGCGCACAATTCCAGGTGGGTTTCAGTACTGTATACACACAACTCTGTGAGAAACAACACAATCCTAACTGTGCTGTGCGCTCTGTTTAGCTTGTGGAATATACCCATCACGTATGTAAATGACAGCTGTGGTTTGGCCCCCGAGTGCAGACAGGTGTTCACTCTGGTGTCCAAGACGGGTAAAAGACAAAACCCAAACCTTCCTGATGAAATCTTAGAGTTAAAGATGCTGTGTGAAATTTCACATTTTTGTTTTTGTTCCAGGAACTCTGACTGTGTCAAAAAGTGTGAAGTGGCTGAAGTTAAACTACAGGAGCACAGGCTTCTACATTGTCGACTACGGAGAAGAGGGATGGAGTGCTCTCACTGATGCTTTGTCCACAAATATCAGTGTTCTGACACCTGAAGATCGAGCCTCACTCATACACAATGTTTTTGCCCTCTCCAGGTATGAATGAGTAGTAACATTTTTCTTTTCTTACTGTTTGGTGGTTTAAAACAAGGGTAGTCTTTTCCCATTCTTGAATATTTATTTCCTCACTGCTCTGTTTCTCTAATAGACTGGGACGTGTTTCCTTCCATCAAGCCATCAACCTCTTGAACTACATGTCCAGTGAAACTGAGACTTCCCCAGTGACAGAAGCTCTGCTTCAGCTCAACCACATCTACAGGCTGCTTGATAAAAGACAGGAGTTTGACCTTGTAGCTCGCATGAAGGTACTCTTTGATTATAAACATAAATATGCACCAACAATCATACTTAAAGCCACTTTCCCGTTAACCATATGCTAAATATGTTTCAGAAAATAAGCGCTGCTATATGAAATGCAACAAAATATAAATTTTATTAAAATTTTCTATTTTTACGATAGATTATCTCTTTATGTACTGCAAGTCTTAAAAGTTTATCTATTGATGCAACAGGCTTGCATTAAGAGACATTTCGGTTCTCTAATGAACTCGCAAACGTGGGAAGAGAAGCAAAGTGTGTCCGAACAGGAGCTGCGTTCAGCTCTTCTCATGACAGCCTGTAACCTGAAGGAAGATAACTGTATTCGACAAGCCAAAGACCTGCTCAAACAATACGTCGACTCCAACGGCACTTTCAGGTAAGAGGTTTTGTTTTGGGTCAAGGTGGTGACGAGATTATTTACTTTATGGATATTGGATAGAAACAATTTTTAGGTCAAAAATTGATGAGAATTAATTGAGTGGGTTGTAGAAGGAAAGCTGGAGCAGTCTTTATCAGAATATATTGAAATAATCCCTCGCTACTTCGCGGTTTGACTTTCATGGACCCACCCTTTTGCGGTTTTTCAAAGTCAGATTGGACATGACACACAATTGACTGATTGATGGATGAGCCGCATGATCGGCATGGATTTTTTAAATTTTTAAATAAATTATTTAAAATTATTTAGCACCTGTGCGCAGCCCACAGCTGCAGGAGAAGCTTCCTCCTGCAGCGTGTCAAGATCTCCGCTTTGCAGCGGAAGAGTGGGTGTGGCCGAGAGCGCTGGCAGGTGGCAGAGAGCAGCCTTGAGGCAGAGAGTGCAGAGATCATGACATGCTGTGCTCTTAGAGTGTGTATAGTTTAGAAACATTGTTTACAACATACTTCCCGAAGTGGAGTACTCGTACCCCTGGTGGTGCAAGAGGGACATAGGAGGTACGGGAGAAAAATTTGGAAAGAAAAAAAAAGTGTGAAAAGAGCCAGACTTCACTCACATAAGTAGATTGAGGCCCCTTCTCACATAACCAAATAATACACGTGTAAATGCTGCCATCTAGTGTTCAGCAAAATCATTGCACTGACAAAGTCGAAGGGTTTGACTTGTTTAAGGAACAGCTGTCGAAGCAGCCTTCGCTCCACTTCTTGTTGGGGCTGCGAAAACATCAGAAGCCGTTGCCGGATTTCTGGATCGGTCTGCGCACAGAACAGCCTGCGCTGGCCAAACACGCTGTCAAGACTTTGATGCCCTTTGCTACAATGTACTTGTGTGAAAGTGGATTCTGACAAATATAAAAACAAAATACAGAGCAAGATTTTGTGTTGAACGATTTAAGACTCACACTGTCTCAAATTAAGTCAATAACAGAGTTGTGTGCTTCCTTCCAAGCACATCCTTCTCATTAAAACTGATGAGTTTAATTAAATACTGACTGTTAGTTATCATATAAATGTTTTGCAATTTATACATTCTACACATGCTAAGTGTTTGGATAATTCAGCATATAAACGTGTTGCTTATTAATGCAGACATTTATTAATAAATGTCATTTGGTGCAATAACAGCTGTTTTAAGATTTTAATTGATATGTCAGTGTTTACGAAACATTTTAAAAGGAGGGTACTTGGCTAGTGGGAAGATGTCTGAAGGGGTACACATTGACACATCTGAACAAAGTTTGGGAACCACTGGTTTAGAATGTTGGAAGAGTGTGGGAAGGATTTAAAATATAATAATGTATAATAATAATGTACCACATGCGATGCAAATGACAACAGTCTCCTTGAACCTTCATGAAACTTGATGCATATGAGCATCATCACTAGGCAGTGTCACATACACTTCTAATCATCCCAGCTTCAAGGTCATAAATCATGGTCAAATGTTATACAAGGTATTGGCTTGTCTGGGCCATTGCTATAGATTGCTGTATTACAGTTTTTCAACGGGCTTTGTTTGTCTGTATACCGTACTCTTGTTTTAAAATATATATTTATATTTGTAGGATTCCAGGCGATCTGCAGAGAGTCGTTTTTGCAGTGGCTGCTCAGTCAGATGAAGACTGGTCAACTTTGTTTGGCTTGTACACAAATGCCATCTACGATGCAGAAAAACGTAAAATGCTTCAGGGCCTCGCATCCACTCGGCTCCCACACCGTGTTGCTTGGTAAGTGTTCACGTGTGTCACTGTAGTGTTCATTAATTCACAGTTCAGTCCATGCTGGTTCTGGGTGTAGCAGATAGCATACTCATCTAAAATTCTCAGTGTTTAAAAATTGATCAGCTACATAAAAAGTAGGCCTGTCGTGATAAACAATAAATCAATTAATTGCATGATAATGAAAATTATTGACCTCACTTTCATTTTTCAGCTTTATCGTTTCTTCATGTCTCTCTCTCTCTCTCTACTGAAGATACTGGATGACAAAAAGCTCAACTCCGTTGTTCTTCACTGACCTCTCCCTTTCTCTTTTTTCTTTAAAATCTGTTTTAACTGTCCAAAATCTCGTTTTTGGATCATTAAAAACAGCTAAGCTGAGAAGCTAAGCTACGAGCTAAGCTAACAGGCCGACCTGGGGGGGGGGGACATCCATCTTGTCAAAGCTCCAAAATTCACGGTTGAAATCCGTGCCTTTGTGTAAAAAGTTGTTTTGTTCTGCAGAAAGAAGCTGAGAACTTGTTTACTGATTTTTTTTTATTAAAAGCTTTGTGTGACAAATGCTATGCTAAAGAGCTCAAACCGCACCGAGCGTCCGCCATTTTGAGAACCAAATAAAGACAGCCTATGTCCTTCAGTTCAGACAATCTTATACTGCCATCTTGTGGTCAAAAAAGGTACTACATGCAAGACAAATAAACATTTCTTCTTAAATTTGACAATAATTGCAAATTATTGTCAAATTTCAGACAATATTATCGTTTATCGCAATAATTTCTGAGACAATTAATTGCCCAGCAAAATTTGTTATCGTGACAGGCCAAATTAGAGGTCCCTTTAACCCCCCAAAATGCTTTTGTTTCAGATTTAAATGTTTAAATAACCAGGCTTAATTTGACTAATTCTGAAGTGTGAGTCACAGATGATCTTTTTCTCAAATGTCACTTAAACAACATTGTTACTATAGTTTATACATGTTGTGTATTTATTATAGTCTTTTGGCTGTAATGTGGTCTCAGTGAACACAGTGAGCAGCATCTAATCTATTATAATCTGTCCAGGATTCTCAAGGAAGGTCTGAAAGGGAAATTCATTCAGACACAGGAGTTACCTCTGATCATCAGAATGGTGTGTCAGAACTTTGCTGGCTATTTGTTTGCCTGGGATTTTATACAAGTGAACTGGGACCGCCTCATAGAGAAGTAAGAAACGGCCTCATAAACTATCCCTGAAGAGTTATTCAAGTATGAAACTACTTAAAAATGAAAAGTTAAAAGTTTTGGAGTGTCATTTGAGTTTTTATGCTTTTGGTTGTAGGTTTCCTGTTGGCTCTTATGCTATCCAGAGCATCATTAAATCTACTACCTCTCAGTTCTCCACAAAGGCGCACCTTGATCAGGTATGGTTCAAAGTCATTTAGCAGTTTGTGTACAAACCAGATTCCAAAAAAGTTGGGACACTAAACAAATTGTGAATAAAAACTGAGTGCAATGATGTGGAGATGGCAAATGTCAATATTTTATTTGTAATATAACATAGATGACAGATCAAAAGTTTAATCTGAATAAATGTAACATTTTAAAGGAAAAATATGTTGATTCAAAATTTCACAGTGTCAACAAATCCCAAAAAAGTTGGGACAAGTAGCAATAAGTGGCTGGAAAAAGGAAATTGATCATATAACGAACAGCTGGAAGACCAATTAACACTAATTAGGTCAATTGACAACATGACTGGGTATAAAAAGAGCTTCTCAGAGTGTCAGTGTCTCTCAGAAGCCAAGATGGTAAGAGGATCACCAATTCCACCATTGTTGCGCAGAAAGATAGTGCAGCAATACCAAAATGGTGTTACCCAGCGTAAAATAGCAAAGACTTTTAAGTTATCATCATCAACCGTGCATAACATCATCAAAAGATTCAGAGAATCTGGAACAATTGCTGTGCGTAAGGGTCAAGTCCGTAAAACTCTACTGGATGCTCGTGATCTCCGGGCCCCTAAACGTCACTGCACCTCAAACAGGAATGCCACTGTCAAGGAAATAACAGAATGGGCTCAGGAATACTTCCAGAAAGCATCGTCAGTGAACACAATCCACCGTGCAGCCGCTGTTGTCAGCTGAAACTCTACAGTGCAAAGAGGAAGCCATTTCTAAGCAAGCTCCACAAGCTCAGACGTTTGCACTGGGCCAGGGGTCATTTAAAATGGAGTGTGGCAAAATGGAAGACTGTTCTGTGGTCAGATGAGTCACGATTTGAAGTTCTTTATGGAACTCTGGGACGCCATGTCATCCGGACCAGAGAGGACAAGGATAGCCCAAGTTGTTATCAACACTCCATTCAGAAGCCTGCATCACTGATGGTATGGGGTTGCATGAGCGCTTGTGGCATGGGCAGCTTGCATATCTGGAAAGGCACCATTAATGCAGAGAACTATGTTCAGGTTCTAGAACAACATATGCTCCCATCTAGACGTCATCTCTTTCAGGGAAGACCCTGCATTTTTCAACACGATAATGCCAGACCACATTCTGCAGCAATCACAACATCATGGCTACGTAGGAGAAGGATCCGGGTACTGAAATGGCCAGCCTGCAGTCCAGATCTTTCACCTAAAGAGAACATTTGGCGCATCATAAAGAGGAAGGTGCGACAAAGATGGCCCAAGACGATTGAACAGTTAGAGGCCTGTATTAGACATGATTGGAGAGCATTCCTATTTCTAAACTTGAGAAACTGGTCTCCTCTGTCCCCAGACGTCTGTTGAGTGTTGTAAGAAGAAGGGGGGATGCCACACAGTGGTAAAAATGGACTTGTCCCAACTTTTTTGGGATTTGTTGACGCCATGAAATATGGAAACAACAGATTTTTCCCTTAAAATGATACATTCTCTCAGTTTAAACTTTTGATCTGTGATTTGTGTTCTATTCTGAATAAAATATTAGATGTTGGCACCTCCACATCATTGCATTCAGTTTTTATTCACAATTTGTTTAATGTCCCAACTTTTTTGGAATCCGGTTTGTATTTGTTTTGGGGGAGTTGTACACAATTTTTTGTGTTGTGTAGGTGCAGGCCTTCTTCTCCAGTCTGAAGGAACGAGGCTCCCAGATGAGGAGCGTCCAAGAAGCTCTGGAAACCATCAGGCTGAACCAACGCTGGGTGGATGAAAACTTGTCTACATTGAAACAAAGTCTCTAGTTCAAGCCGCCTTCACCCCAATAACAATCAAACTGGGTGCGTTGTCAGGACAGGAGCAGTGTTTGCACTATTGTTGGACTCTATCCCTTAACTCCCATTATCCAGACTAGAGCAGCAACCAGTGGTGAAGTTTGTGCTCCAGCTGGGTGGAAAGGTGTGTTTGAGTTTTTAAATTGAGTCCTGTCAGTTGTACTTGATAGCTCAGGGTGGCTCTGATTGTGTGTCTGTTGGTATTTTTAGACAAAACACACACTCATGTTTTATGCTGTCGACCAAACCTCTGCAGTTTTCATCTAAACCTCATGCCTGAGCAGACAATCATGAATCGTAAAAACTCCACAAGTCCTCTCGGATCTCAGGCACCAGACCACAAGAGCTGTAAAATAGCTACTTTATAAATCAGAAGTATGATGAATGTTAATGTTACGTCTTTTAGAGAAAGGCCAGTCATCTGTGGTTTCCTCAGCAGTGCTGAACAAAAATGACCGCTGCTTGAAAAGTCCTTAGTGTTAAATTAGCTGTGAGTCAAGGATTCGTTACCCTGTATTAACTACACATACAAGCTGAAGCATTGGGCTGAATTAGATGACTACTTTATATTTTATAGCGTAGAACACCAAACGTGTTGGCATTTTTTGAATGTACTAAATAACCTCCCACTGTGTAACAGAAGACACTGTACAGAAAAAAAAACAGTGCAGGTGTAAAACAACAACCAATGTGTCTTAGGTGAGAACAGGCAGTAATCACTGGATCCACAGGGTCTCTGTTTGTTGACCCCACTACCCCCCCCCCCCCCCAACAGCCATAAACCTGGATTAACATGCTTTTTTGTTGCTTTGTTGTGAATTCACAGCAGAGGTTCACACTTTCTCGCTATGGAACACCAAAATGCACAAAATGAAATAAATAAATAAAACATTATGAAATAAGTGAAAAAAAAAACATGTTTATTATTTTATTTCATAATTGTGTTTTTCATGATAGCGTCAGTGTGGCCAAATTGGGCAGTTTACTGTCATTTGGGTGGTTTTCATATTGATTTTGCTGGGAACTCTGGGAAGATTTTTGTTGGATTGTTGCATTTTGCCACATATTGTTAAATGACCCTGGCTTGTACTGAGGTGCGTTCATGTTCAAACAGTAAATATACTGTAACAATATATTGATTGGGCGGATTTGTGTGTGATGTGGTTTTTAACAGACTTTTGGGCTGGAAAACCTCAACTCTATCTGGCAACACTGGATAGGTTATTTATTTCATAATGGTGTTTTTCATAACGGCTTATTTATTTCATAATGATTCTTTTCAGCAGAATGACTTCAGCTGTCAATCAACGTCAGTGGGCTGGACCTTCATGCCCACTGGCTGATCCTTCACATCCATTAGTTTTCCTGCTCGCTGGTACAGCTAGCATAGCAACTAGCAACGACTTACTAGGCCAGCAGTCATGAAGGATGGCAGAGTTGCATGAACTTTGTTCAGCTTTAGCAGATCAAACTGAGGATTGCGTTCTCAGAAGATACAGGTGTCTTGAAAAAAAGTGATAGGCTGCCAAAAATCGATCAGTGCTGCGGGAGTGTGCACGGGAGGACTCGCTGTTTTAGTTTTTAGATTTGAACAAGATTAACAATAGCTGTACCAGCGAGCAGGAAAACTAATGGATGTGAAGGATCAGCCAGTGGGCGTGAAGGTCCAACCCACTGATGTTGATGGACAGCTGAAGTCATTCTGCTGAAAAGAATCATTGTGAAATAAATAAGCCATGAAAAACACAATTATGAAATAAATAAGCCATGAAAAACACAATTATGAAATAAAATAATAAAAATTATTTTTTTTTCTCATTTCACAATGTTTAATTTATTTATTTAATTTTGAGCGTTTTGGTGTTCCATATCTCTCCACATGTTTGTAAAGTTATAATGTAAATAAGGTCAGCGCTGTGTTTTTGAAAGTTCTGTTTTAAAGATACTGACTTAACTATTTAAAAGTTTTTTTGTTGTGTGTGTGTGTGTGTGTGTGTGTGTGTGTGTGTATATACAGTGTAAAGGGTGGCAAAGTTTTTAATTTGGGGATTTAGAACAAGCCAAAAGGAGGTCCTTTGTATGTTAGATTATGTTCTAAGGGCTAATGTTCTTATCTGTTCAATGTGTTGATAATTTGTTGATTTTGATTTTTTTAAAATCATTTTTAAAAAGTCAGTTTTTCTTGTGTTAACCAGCCACGTCTCATCAGAATTAGCTGTCTATGAAGTGTCTTTACATGCGAGTCGTGTGTTTGCTTTGTATGTGAAGAGCGATGCACATCCAAAGTGGCATGTTTTAGGCTGGATCTTGTTTGACCTGGATTGTGTTTGCTTTGGTTTTCAGATTATTAGTCATGTTGTTTTCTGTGTGTCATGTGAAAAAACTGATTTGTACAGAAAATGAGTGCCACTTTTCCAAAGACAATGCACGAGATTTATTTAAAATGTATTAATGGTACGTGAAGAGAAGACCAGTCTGGACAAAACTGCTCAAGGATGTTCATGCTCAGTCAGAATGTGTCTGCAGGTCAGGGACTGTTTGAAAGCACAGCCCGACTTCAGTGAGGGGAAGTAAACACAGTCGGTACCATTTAAATGATTTCCCCTCACTCGATTGTATTCTCATTCACATCATTGTATTCAGTTAAAAAACCCACAGATCCATAGTTACACCTCAGATTGTTTCATCTTTTTTATTAAATTTTTTTTGTTGCTGTTGTTTGAATTTGTTTTTTTTAGATCCTCATCCTAAGTGCTGTAAATGCGTCTTATGAGCGGCCATGTTGAGAGAAGCGTGTGCAGCTATTGCGTCCAGTTGTCTTTGTTTTTGAACTGACATGTTTTTTTTTTTAGAAGTTGTTTTTTTTACATACAAACAAAATGTTAAATTTTTTTTATAGAAGCAATGGGCTTTTAATGGATGTATTCATCTTTTATTATGACCTTTTTTTCCTATTCTTCACCTATTAAGTTTGTTTCCTGTCATCAACTAACAAAAGTTGAACTTTCTATGTTTTTCCAGCTTTGATAATTCAAAACCACAAAATGTTGATAAATGCTGACACTCCAAATAAAATTGAGCTGCATCTCAAGTCTCATTTGTTGCAGGGTGACCATTTGTGATTTTTTTTTTTTTACCCCACCAGCTACAGGTAATTGTCAAAAATTGTAAAAAATATGCTGCCTTTGCAAACGTAAAGAAGGACTATGTTACCGGCCACATTTAGCTTTGATTAAAACATGCTTTAACTCTGGCATCACTTGGAAAAGAGTTAAACACATTTCTGTTCAGAGTTGAACAATTATCCACCTGGAATTGATGAAAATGATTCTCCCTCGTTTTAATAACTGTCCATTTTATGATTCAAACATCATAAAATACAATTCTCAGAAACCAACTGCATTTAAAATCACTCAACCAGATGACTTCTGTCCAAAACAACAAATTACAAAAACGTCTTCTGGTTTTAAACTGGACTCCACCAACAGAGGGCATTCTAATTCAGGTAACCACAATACTAGTTTATTTTCCTGTTCCTAAAGTTTGAGATAAAAAGAGCAAATTAATGATAATAAACTTTGATAAATTGGACCTTTGGGTTGAAATTAACAGACAAACCTCAGTTCCAAACCTTTTAACTCTCAAGCTCTGGATCCTTTTGTGTTTGGGACGTGGTTCTGTTGAAATAAGATGAGATTCAATGCAAATGGGGGTAGAGTCACATTTGATGAATAAATATTAATTCCAACTTCTATAGTTATTTAATGTTTGGGATATTTTTTCTTTTTTGTTCTTAAAATAGTGCGCTTTGTTTTTTTTTTTTAAGAATGAGCACAGAATCACTTTAAAATGTAGCCGCTTCATTTGAGTTTTCTTTAGACTTTACAATTTCAGTATCAGAAAAATAAAGGAATTTTATGAAAAGCAGAGGTGGGAGTGGTGGTGCAGAGGTAAAAGAAGGTGAGCTGGTGATCGGAAGGTTGCTGGTTCAATTCTTCAGACCGACAACATCAAAATGTTGGTGGGAAAGATGACGCACCTGTCTCCACCCCTCATGTACCCCATTCTGAGCCCTTGAGCAAGGCCCTAAACCCCCACCATCTGCTCCCCCGGGCGCCCTAGTCGACAGCTCTCTGCTCCACACAGAGGGCTGTGGTAGCTCGGTGGTCTGTGGTTGTGTCAGGAAGGACATCCAGCGTAAAAATAATTGCCAAGTCTCCATGTAAGTTCTCTGTGGTGACCCCAGAAGAAGGGAGCAGCCGAAAGAAGAAGAACAAAAGAAAAACAAATTACCTCTGTTTGTGATCATAATCACAGAAAAATAAGGATTCATGAAGTTACCTAAAAAATAAGTTCAGTGTCTCACTAAAGGCTTTTCTGCTCACATTTCATTCACAACTTGTTTCCAGCTTTATTTCTGAGAGTGTCTCGTGATGATCCGTTCCCTCAAATGTTCTGACAGGTTCTATGTCTGCTTCTCATTCTCTGCTTTATGTCAGATCATAAATGAAACGGTTTGCAATGAGCCACTAAATGTCACATTTCAGAATGTTTCACCAGCAGTGCACAGTTCTCGTGCACATCGGAAGACGAGCCATGAAATGAACTACAGTTTCAATAGTGATAACGTTTAATAATATTCTTGTGATTCTGCAGAAACATTAAAAAAAACGTTTATGGTTATATTAATAACTTTAAACTTTTTTATTCTTTCAGTTATTTAACAGTCTAGTCTTTTTTATTATTGTTTTAGTCCAAAATGTATTGTTTTGTTTTCAGAAACTCCTCATTGTCCCATGAGTCGTCAGTCAAAGTGAGGTGGTTGAGCAGGAAATGATTAATTACAAACAAGCAAGCTGTGCAATGAAAGAAAAACTTGTACGACCGGATCAGAACGTGTAGCCTGAGCTTGGACCCCCTTATCCTTCCACACTTACTCACAGACACATCACCAGCACAAACACGGACCA